TGTTTTGTTTTGAGTTGAAGTCTTACTCTGTCGCCCAGACTGGAGTGCAGTGGCCGCTCCCGGCCATCGCAGCCTCAACCTGCTGGGCTCTGGTGATCCTTCAGCCTCAGCCTTCCAAGTAGCTGGAACTACAGGTGCGCGCTACCACACCTGGCTAGTTTTTTTTGTTTTGTTTTGTTTTGAGTTGAAGTCTTACTCTGTTGCCCAGACTGGAGTGCAGTGGCCACTCCTGGCCACCGCAGACTCGACCTGCTGGGCTCCGGCGATCCTTCAGCCTCAGCCTTCCAAGTAACTGGAACTACAGGTGCGCACTACCACACCCGGCTAATTTTTTGATTTATTGTAGAGATGAGGTCTCGCCAAGTTGCCTAGGCGGGTCTCGAACCCGCGGGCTCTGGCAATCCACTCACCTCAGTCTCCCAAAGGCACGAGATTACAGGCTAAGCCACCGAGCCTGGCTTAGTTTTTGATTTATTGTAGAGACGAGGTCTTGCCAAGTTGCCCAGGTGGGTCTTGAACCCGCGGGCTCGGGCAATCCACTCACTTCAGCCTCCCAAAGCATGGGATTACAGGCTGAGCCACTGAGCCTGGCTAAGACACAGTCTTTATGGAATTCACAACTGGGACTTTTGTTCTCAATCTCATTTCCATCATCTAGCCTAGACATAACTGAGAAACCTCTGCAAGCAATCTGCTCACTTCGCTATTCCAGTTGCCCTGCAAGACTCAGGGAGGCATGCTCTGGAACTGGATCTCAGTCTGATGGCAGGAGAGAAGCTGGTCTTACCTTAGAAACCCAAAGAAGCCACTGGTTCCCGGCTCTTTCAATAGAGGTGTATTGTTTTGCTGCAGTGATGGAACGGCTAGCACTGTCAGGCTGTCCCCCAACTTAGAATCTGCAAGAAAAACACTCGGGTAGGAAAAGGATGTCAGTCCTTAGGTGGCTTTCACATGAGTAAGAGAAGACAAGACACCCAGCATGAGCCAAGGACCACTCACGCCACAGTTTTTTTTGAATTGGTGTCTCACTCTTACCCACACTGGAATGCAGTAGTATTATCATGGCTCACTGCAACCTTGACCCCCTGGGCTCAGCGATCCTTCTGCCTCAGTCCCCCGAGTAGCTGGGACTACAGGCATGCACCATCACGCCTGGCTAAGTTTTTGATTTTTTGTAGAAATGAGGTCTTGTTGTGTTGCTTAGGCTAGTCTTGAACTCCTGGGCTCAAGCAATCCTCCCGCCTTGGCCTGGGATCGCAAGCATGAGCCACCACACCCGGTCCAAGATTTCTTTAAAGCCAGGTGAATGTTCTGACCATCCTAGTTTCATCTCAGTTCAGTAAGGTGCTATTCTGACCTCTGGGTGTTTTCAGTCAGGTTTCAAAGATATTTACATAACTCAAGTCCCAGCCACCCACCATGGTTGGTATGTCTTCATTTGGAGTGACAAGTTGTTGATGAACTCACTTGCTTACTCTGTTTTTGTGATAGCTGAAGTTCACGTCGGATCTTCATGCTGGGTGAAAGACCAGCAATTCAGGAGGGCGATGGCTTGACAAGCATCCCCACTCTTGCAGACATCCATCTGCACCTCCCATATTAACACTAGTGCTCCGAAAGGAAGAGGAACAAGCTTCCTAGAGATCATTCTCCAACAGTACAGGAAAGGGAAACACATCCCTCCCAAGCTTCTTTTTGAGTTGGGATCTCACCCTGTCGCCTAGGCTGGAGTGCAGTGGCACGCTCACGGCCACCACAGCCTCGACCTGCTGGGCTCTGGCGATCCTTCTGCCTCAGCCTTCCAAGTAGCCAAAACTACAGGTGCGCACCACCCCACCCAGCTAAGTTTTAAAATTTATTGTAGAGACGAGGTCTCACCAGGTTGCCCAAACTGCTCTGGAACCCCTGGACTCAGACAATCCTCTCACCTTCACTTCTCAAAGTGCTGGGATTACAGGTGTGAGCCATCATGCCTGGCTTTCAAGTTTTCTATGAAATTTATCACCCTACTTGGAGATGTTTTGAAACTATGGGATCATCGGTTTCACCATCAGAAGCAGAGGAAAGGCACGCATCGCCTCCCTTCATTCCTTTTGGGAGTTGGGGAGGTTTCTATGACCCTAGGATAGGCCCAGACCAGAGGATGGCCAACAGGCACTTCCATGGGTGCAAGACACATGGCCTGCTGAGCATGCTGACTCAGCTCTGTGACACTCTGCTCATCAGAGGACTAAAAGGAGGAGGATGATTGTTAAAGGAGAAGAAATATGAATTTCTCAGAACCTACCCGGTGTCTGGACATCAGCGATTTCAGGGGCTAGGGTCTCCTGCCATTCCTGCTGGGTTTTTCCTTGACTGTTCTGATGAAAAGAGGACCAAGAAAAGTCTTAACTTTACTCCTACACAGTTTGGCAATCTGAATGCTATTTGCCGGTGAATTGATTTCACATCAGCACTGGGGCCTGGCTTCTGACTGCCCAGACAGGTTCTATATTTCTTTCTATAGCACTGCCCTTTTTTCGTTTCAGCATCCTCATCACTGTCCCTCTAAAACCATGAGATTTAGGAGCTAAGAACAGACCAGGCTGGGTTTAACTTATCGTTCCATGTTACTGAGTGCCTACTGTTGCCAAGGACAGAACACTGAGGTTTCGGAAATCAGGAAGACCTTAAATTTACCTTGGAGAAATGTATACTCTCTGGATAAAAACTGACATATAAACTAAGTATGATAATACAATGTGATAAGGCTACCTCAGGGGTCCATATAGAGGGCTATGGCTGCTGAGGAGAACATTAATGGAGCGGGTGACAGTTACTCAAGGAAGGCGTCACAGGGGAAGTGATGTCTGAAGGGGGCCTCAGTTGAATGAGTGAGATTTTTCATAAAGGGGGTGAGGAGACAGTCACCGAGGGCAGTGTCCAGACAAGGACATGATACACAGGGCATAATGCTCATTAAAGAACAAATACAATCAGCATGGCTAGAGTCAGGCGTGGTAGAAACATGATCATGACATTAGCAGCAGCACAATACAACACAATCTTATTATTTTTCCATGTGCTACTGCTTTATAGAAATTCCTTTATACTTTGAAGGGAACCTTTTACAACCTTGTTCCAGGCACACATTTCCCAGAAAATACCCTGATAGTCAGAAACATGGTTCATATCTTTTCTTTGGGAATTTCTACCAACTGCCACTCCCCTCACCCAGTCAGAACTTAAAAGCCTGAGTACTCGGCAGTGCTGAGTTTCTCGAGCTGTTTTGCTGGTGAAGAATTCTATAGCAAGGGGTTATAGACTATCAAGATGGGTTCTCGAAGACAGAGGCATAGCAGACCTCTGGAAAAGTTAAGACTAATCCCCACCCTAAGAACAAACTTCAGGTTAGAATGGCAGGTATTTTTGAGATGAGCTTCTTCACAAACCTCTCAAATCATATCCAGACCACATCGACAGCCACCTAAGTCAAATTCCTGTAAAAGCCAAAGGAAACTCTGGGAAGGAGGGAGACCATTTTTATCTTTTTGAGACAGAGTGAAGGTGAAATCCAGAGGGCCCAGCTCTGGTTTCTGGCTTGAGGGAATGTTTCTTACAAATGTAGTACAACTACGGTTTGGGGCTTGAATCCTGCTTCAGCGAATGGCCGTAATAAAAGCATCTACAGAGGGTGGTAGCAGGGACCAGAGGGCAAAAACCCTAGGGCAGAGGCACAGCCTGCCTCTGAACCAGGGGAGATTCCTCCACAAGATGGTACAGCTTGTATGCTCTCCTAAAACCTTGACGGCAGTCTTCTCAGGCAAAATTCGTAAGAGTAGAAAAATATTATAGCTGGAATTAAGACTCAGGGTAACATCTGGGATGTCCTTCAGAACAGAATACCCTGAAAACCTGATGCAAGATTTTCCCTCTGCATGTTCAGTACCAGATCTGTTTAGAAGTGCAGTTCAAGCAGAGGTGGCAAAAAACCCAAAAACCTACATGCAGTCTGTTTCACTTCTGAGCCATTTATCTCCATTTATCTTCTCCCTCCCATTTTCCGTCCCAGATTCCGTCTGGATCCCCAGGTCCAGGATCCGAAGTAACAAAAGGAAGGGTTCTGCCCTTCCTTCTCATTCTCCCCAGAACACCTCTTATGAAACAGAGGTCTGTTTTGTATTCCTCTAAGCTTTCCTCACAGACTCTCAATGTGTTCAGTCGTGCATCCTGCACACTGATGGTGATCCTACACCCTAACTCCCCCCAAAGGCGGGGGAGAAAATATTAAGCATTGGACCATAGGAGCAAATGCAATTTTTCCAGCTCAAGTGACTTACACTGAGAGTCACTGTGATCACTGTAATTTGGGAGAAATCCTCTCCCTGGGAACAGGGTCTACGAGGGAGGATGTCTTTAGGCTTTGAGTCAAAATCAATAAACATGTTCCTTTTACTCAAGAGTTTTTTTCTAAACCCAGAATAGGTTGAAAAGGTAATTATGTTGAGTAAGACGCTGTGGGTACTGTTCTTGAGGGAGATGATGTGTCAGACTAAGAATAGGAAGCTACGAACGGTAAAGGGTGAGGGAAACGTTCCTTTAATAGTGATTATCTTGGTTGTATAAAGCGTCTTTATTCTTTGGAGCTTCGTGTACTCCTCATGTACTTTCTCATTCCTTCTTACCTCTCTGAAGGATGGGGCGATAGAAGGCAGGTGACTATCTGCCTAAAATCACTCAGTAGGCCAGCTGACCATGACACAACTGGGGCCCTGTACTTGGCCCCTATCCACGGAGGCAGAGGTCCAAATCCCTAAGTGCACACTCCTCCCCCAACTAAATTATAAGCTCCTGGAAAAAAGAAACTCAATTTTATACATGTTTGCATGTGTCCCAGCATTCCCACCTTGAAAGCAGGAGACAGAATAATTGTTTAGAAAATACCAATGTGGGCAACATAACGGGACCCCATCTTTTCAGGAAAAAAAAAAAATTAGCCAGGCATGGTAGCTCATGCCTGTAGTCCCAGCTACTAAGAAGGCTGAGGCAGAAGGATTGCCTAAGCCCCGGAGGGCAAGGCTGTGCTGAGACACAGTCATGCCACTGCACTCAGCCTGGATGGATGAGAGAGAGAGAGACCCTGTCTCTATCTCTCTAAAAAAGAAGAAGAAGAAGAAGAACGCCAGTCATGGTGGCCCAAGCCTGTAATCCTAGCACTTTGGGAGGCCTAGATGACAGGATTGCCTGAGTCCAGGGGTTCGAGACCAACCTGGGCAACTTGGCAAGACCTTGTCTCTACAATAAATAAAAAAAAGTAGCCGAGCATGGTAGCACATGCCTGTGGTTCCAGCTACTTGGAAGGCTGAGGCGGAAGGATGACCTGAGGCTGCGGTGGCTGGGAATGTGCCACTGCACTCCAACCTGGGTGACAGAGTGAGACTCCAACTCAGATAAAAGAAAAAAAAAATCATTCTTCTACTTAAAAATGTCTTAGGGGAATTCCTATGATCTTGAAGGTGGCCTCAAGGCCTTTCATGATCCAGCCCAGGCTGACCTCTCCATATCTCAGCACTGTACTATAAGCTGCAGGCACACCTGACTGCAGGTACCAAAGGCAGCATACTTAGCTCCCTTGGCCTGAGCTCGTTGAACAACTCTGAGCTACTCCAGGAAGGCTTCCCTCATGGCCAGTTTGTGTTCCCTTCGTACTCTGTGTTTCCTTCTATCCCTGCACATAGCACATCTGTCAGTAATTGTCTGCCTACCCTTATACTGTTGGTGTTTTTAGGCTAAAGTATGGTATGGTATGGTACTTGGCACCTAGTAAATACCCAGTGAAAATTTGTTGAATGAGACCAGTATGGTGGCTCTCACAACTATAATCTCAGCACTTTGGGAAACTGAGGTGGGAGTATCACTTGAGGCCGGGCAACTGAACAAGACCCCATCTTTTAAAAAAAAAATTGGGGCCGGGTTTGGTGGCTCTGCCTGTAATCCCAGCACGTTGGGAGGCCAAGGCAAGTGGATTGCCTGAGCTTGTGGGTTTGAAACCAGCCCTGGCAACTTGGTGAGATCTCACTTCTACAATAAATTAAAAAATTAGCCGGGCGTGGTGGTGTGTGCCTGTAGTTCCAGCAACTTGGAAGGCTGAGGCAGAAGGATCACCTGAGCCCAAAAGGTCACGGCTGTGGTGGCTGTGAGTGTGCCACTGCACTCCAACCTGGACGACAGAGTGAAATTCTGATTCAAAAAAAGTTGTTTTGTTTTTTTTTAATTTAAAAAAGAAATAAATTTGTTAAATGAAAGCATATGTAAGTGTTTTTTCAATAACTGATCATGTTACGGATGGGTCCTGAGAAGGTGAAGGAGGTGATTTGTTAGTGTTTGAGTACTTAGAATCAGAGCACCTTTGGAGATATAGAGAACTAAGAAAAAAAGAAGCATCTGTAAGGCATGTGTAGCAGTTAACAAATATTTAAAGAGGGAAGAAAAAGAAAAAGAGCGCTATGGTAGGGTGCAATAGCTCATGCCTATAATCCTAGCACTTTGGGAGGCAGAGGTGAGAGGACTGCCTGAGCTCACAGGTTCAAGACCAGCCTGGGCAAAATATCAAGATCTCGTCTCTACAATAAATCAAAAATTAGCTGAGTGTGGTGGTGCATGCCTGTAGTTCCAGCTACTTGAAGGCTGAGACAGAAGAATCGCCAGAGCCCAGCAGGTTGTCGCTGCAGTGGCCATGAGCATGCCACTGCACTCCAGCCTGGGCGACAAAGTGAGACTCTGACTCAAAAAAAAACGGGGGGGGGGGCACTATTTTAGAGCTGTTATGGATAAGAAGTCCTGAAATGGAGATATATGAATATCTAAATGGGGAACAGATCTGATAAGTGAAATCCAACACTATCAGGGGTCAGTCCATCATTGCTCTAGTTTTCTCTTACCAGATACCAGTGCTGATTCATGTCTAGCTCATCTGTAAAAACGTGATGTTCCTAGATACAGACCCCAGTGTAGATGAAGGCAAAAAGTTTTCATTTTTTTTAGTTGGAGTTTCACTCTGTCGCCCAGACAGGAGTGCAGTGGCCGCTCCCGGCCACCTCAGCCTCAACATGCTGGGATCCGGCAATCTTCCGCCTTAGCCTTCCAAGTAGCTGGAACTACAGGCGCGCACTACCACACCCAGTTAATTTTTGATTTATTGTAGAGATGAGGTCTTGCCAAGTTGCCCAGGCGGGTCACGAACCAAGAGAAAATTCTATACTGGATCCCACCTCAATTCAATACAGACCTATTTCCTGTTTCAACTGTTGAGTACAAGCAGCAGCTTTTGCAGCTGAGAAGAAAGGACCTTCTAACAAAAGGATTCCCTGATGTAGGTGTTATGCAGCCACTTTTGGGATGGGCTGTGACCAGGGTGGAACAATGGATGCTGCAGACAGTGAAACCTGAGAACAAGTCCAGTCAATTCAATCTGCTTGAAGGACCAAGATGTGCTGGTAGCAAGAATCCTGACTTGTAACAGAACAGAACAGCCGACAGCATTCAAGCCTCCATTTTGGCGCTTACCCTCCTGGTTTCCATAGCGGGCTTCTTTCTGTTGGGGCTTTGGCTGGAAGTCCCCATCTCAGCTCTGAAGTGGGGGGAGAAACCCAGGAAATGTTACCGGCAGAGGCAATATCACTACATTCAAGCAAATGTGGCCCAAATGAATATTTCAGCAGGTTGGCTATTTTTATACCACTCCTGGCCGGCAGGATAAATTGTGTGGCCAAATTTTCTTTGGGTGCTGCTTTAATTCACAGCCAAATCCCAACTTCAAACATTGAGGGATCTGGGATTTGAGAAAGGGAGTGACTGACAGCAGGTATCTGATTTTGAAGTATTTGATTGTGTATCAAAACCCAGAGAAAGGGAAGGTGTGAGGCCTCATTTCCATGGAAAATGCAGTCAAGGCCGGGTATGGTGGCTCACGTCTATAATCCCAGCACTTTGGGAGGCCGAGGTAAGAGGATTGCCTGAGCCCACGGGTTTGAGACCAGCCTGGGCAACCTGGCGAGACCTTATCTCTACCATAAATTTAAAAATTAGCTGGGCATAGTGGTGTGTGCCTGTAGTTCCAGCTATTTGGAAGGCAGAGGTGGAAGGATAACCTGAGCCCAGCAGGTCGAGTGCAGCGTGCCACTGCACTCCAGCCTGGGAGACAGAATGAGACTTCAACTCAAAAAAAAAAAGGAAAATGCAGTCAAGTGGAACAGAGCAGAGCTCTACACCTCCAAGTACCCTCACAGTTCCACCTGGCTTGGAAAGGAGCTCTCCAACTCTCCACCTGCACGTGCATCTGGAGGGCATAGAGTCAGCTCCTTGGCGGTCTACCACCACTGCTACTATATGTCTAGGGGCCCTCATGGACCAGGAAAAGAGTGGCTGTTCTCTGATTCTGGGGTGAACGTATCTTGGGCTAGGGAGGTGACTGCACCTTGGATTGCTCCAGCAGCTCTCTCTGCGATGCTAGCAAGAATGACTGAATTGTCTTACTGATTCATTTTGCCCATGACAGAGACCAAAGGAAGAACAGTAATCTCCACCATAAGAGCTCCAAAATGTCAGTCACGTGTTCAGCATTCCCCAAATATCACAGCACCTCACCCAGTAATTGCTACATACCCTCTTTTTTTTATTTTTTATTTTTTTGAGTTGGAGTCTCACTCTGTCGCCAGACTGGAGTGCAGTGGCTGCTCCCAGCCACCGCAGTCTCGACCTGCTGGGCTCCGGCTATCCTTCTACCTCAGCCTTCCGAGTAGCTGGAATTACAGGCGTGCGCTACCACGCCCGGCTAATTTTTTGATTTATTGTAGAGATGAGGTCTCGCCTGCTCAGGCAGGTCTCGAACCCGTGGGCTCAGGCAATCCACTCACCTCAGCCTCCCAAAGGCACGGGATTACAGGCTGAGCCACCGAGCCCGGCTGATACATACTCTCTTACAAACATTTATATTTTAACCTGAACTGCCGCTGAAGCTTCCAAAAGCTTATTGCTCACTGGGTAAGACAAAATTATTATTATCATTATTTTTGAGTTGGAGTCTCACTCCATCGCCCAGGCTAAGGTGCAGTGGTATGCTCACGGCCACCTCAGTGTCAACCTGCTAGACTCAGGCGATCCTTCTGCCTCAGCTTTCCAAGGAGCTGGAACTACAGGCGCGCACTACCACACCTGGCTAATTTTTGATTTATTGTAAAGACGAGGTCTTGCCAAGTTGCTCAGGCTGGTCTTGAACCTGTGGGCTCAGGCAATGCACTCGCCTCGGCCTCCCAAAGTGCTGAGATTACAGGATGAGCCACCAAGCCCGGACTAAAGTTATATTTCATTTGTTCATAATCGTTCAAGAGTTTCTCTACGTCTTTGTATTTTATTCTGAGATTTGTAAATCTTGCACCTTCTGACGATACTACCACAGTAAGCACTCATTGAATGTGTCGAATTCAACTGCTGCGATCTGACTGTCTCTTCTCTGCCTTCATCCTGATGAACAGAGTAATCTTACTTTGCTGAGAAAGGGACTGTGTTGAAATTATACTGCAAATAACAACTCACTCCCTTTCCTTAGTCCACCCACTTGGATAGGCAGGTACTGGCAAAGCCCTAAAAAGAAAAATGACCCTCCCAAGGACAAGACCAACCAGCAGCGACAGCTGGCAAAGCCTAGCTAGGATGCAGGAGTTGGTCTCTCCCCCATTCCACTGACCTGTCCAGGCCTGGCCTGATGGGGGAACTGGATTCTTCCATGCATTTTCGTTTCCTCATCAGGGCTCCTGACGCTTTCTCCTCAGTTAGGACCTTCAGAGAGGAAACAGACTCCTGTGACTCCTCCTTTTCCAAAGTTGCTCACAGTTCATGGAGGCAGAGTAAAGAGAACGCCCTATCTTTAAACTGCCAAAGGCAACTTTTAACACCAACTTCGCAAGTAAGGATAGACATTCTGTTAGAGACATGATCTCAGAAGTCTTGCCAAAGGAGAAAAGATGGTCTTATGTTTACAGTTCTGATTGGACCTGGGCAGCAACTGGGGGGCAAAGTAAGAGGAAGAGAAACGAGCAGGACAACAGGTGGCAATAAAGGCAATGTTCATTTTGTGCAGAAAGGCAAACTTACCAACCCCAGAGGACTGCCATTTATTGGTTTCCCTATAAAAGAAAATCTGGATTAAGGATTTGTTTTACCTGGATTTCTAGATACTATTTATTTATTGGTACCGGCCCTAGACAAAGCTACCATGTATGCCTTTATCCCTGCTACTTGGCACTGCTTTCCCTAGAAACAGGGTCTTTAAACTCTATTTCTATTTGCAGAATGATTATCATCACAAGCGGGAAAGGGTCTGATTCACACTACACTAATGATATGCCACCTACAAGGGAATGATCCTTACTACAAAAGAAAAACAAGTAGAACTTCAGGCATCAGTGACAAATGAATTGGAGAGATATTTTGAGGCAAGGCCTTTGCACCGTTTTTCAAATAGAATGGGCAGGTGTTTACTTATCTTTCCATCAGTAAAAATAGCTATGGCCATCACAGATGAAAAATTGAAAGATACCTCTAAGACATCTCTAAGGTGAACAGAATACTTGTAAAATGAAAAGATTTATATATAGTTAACTTTTACTGAGTGGTTACTCTGTCAGACTTTGTATTTTCCATCTACCAGTATTTATGTATTTAATCCTTTTAACAACTCAGTACGAGTATTATTCTTCACCATTTCACAAAAGGGGCACATAAAGATTAAGTATTTTGAGTCAGGTGTGGTGGCTCACACCTGTAATCCCAGCACTTTGGGAGGCTGAGGCAAGAGGATTGCCTGAGTTCAGGGGTTCGAGACCAGCTTGGGCAACTGGGTGAGACCAATAAACCAAAAAATTAGCTGGGCATGGTGGCGTGCACCTGTAGTTCCAGTTATTTGGAAGGCTGAGGCGGAAGGATTGTCTGAGCCTAGCAGGTTGAGGCTGCAGTGGCCATGAACATGCCACTGCCCTCCAGTCTGGGCAACAGAGTGAGACTCTGACTCAAAAAAAAAAAAAAAAAAGATTGGCTGGGCATGGTTGCTCAGCCTGTAATCCCAGCACTTTGGAAAGCCAAGGTAAGAGGACTGCCTGAGCCCGGGGGTTCAAGACCAGCCTGGCCAACTTGGCAAGACCTCGTCTTTATAATAAACCAAAAAATTAGCCAGGCATGGTGGCATATGCCTGTAGTTCCAGATATTTGGAAGGCTGAGGCAGAAGGATCGCCTGAGTCTAGCAGGTCGAGGGTGCGGTGGCCATGAGCGTGCCACTGCACTCCAGCCTGGGCAACAGAGTGAGCTCCTACTCAAAAAAAAAAAAAAAAAAGATTAAATAATTTATCTGAGTTCACATGGCCACTAAGTAGTTGAATCAGGCAGTCTGGCTTGGAGCACATGCTCCTGTCATGTGCACTGTGTGGCTGGAGCCCAGTAAGGACCATTTTGCCATACTCAGCTGGCACTGCCAGCCCATTTTTCTCTCAACCACCCACACTCACATCTTTCTACTTACCGGGCGACAAGTTTTCATGAAACCATTTCATTTCTACATAGAGAGTGAAAACAAACGGGTAGGGGACCAAGACAACGTCTCCATGTTTGAATTTCAGGTGGGAAACTCTCTCCCACTTGCTTTTATCTGGGAAAGGGTGTTAAGGAGGGGGGCGAGATGCCAGTAGGCAGCACTACCGTAGGGATGGACTCCCTTTCCTTCCCTGACCTGCCCTTCAGACTCCCCATGGTTTTACTGCCTCCATTTGAGTCTACATGTGAATTGTAGTTCATTCCCAGCTAGAAAAGAAAGGATACAGGGAAACACAATGAAGTGTTCTGTAGCAAACGGCTGCAGATTGTCCAAGTTTCCCAAGACCGCACGGATGGAATCCTGAAAAACATACTTGAAATGACTTGAATCCTGTCGGGTCTTAGCTGATCTGCTTATATATGTCCCTGCTCTTCACAAACTCTATATTCTTCTAAACAGAACTATTTGCTGTTCCCTGAACATGGCTTTTGAGTCTCCATTTCTATACTTTTGCATAGTCTGTTCCCTCTGCCTGAAATATCCTTTCCACTCATCAGCACATGTCCAAAACCGACTTCCTTAAAGGTACAGTTCAAAAGACATCTCCAGAGAGCTTTCTCTGATTTACCAAGTTGTAACTGACTGTTAGAACTTCACAGTAGTTAGCCTGGGGCCTGGGGCCTTTACTACATTCCACATACCTATGTTTTATATTTCTCACTGGGAGATCTGCTTTAAGTAGAATATACACCTGGTTTATCTTTTTTTTTTTTTTTTTTTGTGTTGGGGTCTCACTCTGTCGCCCAGGCTGGAGGGCAATGGCATACTCTTGGCCACTGCAGCCTAAATTGGCTGGGTTCAGGCAATCCTTCCACCTCAGCCTTCCAGATGCCTGTAATCTCAGCACTTAGGGAGGCCAAGGTGAGAGGACTGCTTGAGCCCAGGAGCTCGACACCAGCCTAGACAACACAGCAAGACCTTATCTCTACAAAATAATGAAAAAATTAGTTGGGCTTGGTAGTGTGCACCTATAGTCCCAATAATCCATAGAGTGAGACCCTGACTTACAAAAAAAAAGACAACTGGATTTCTTTTCTCTTTTTCTTTCTTCTTTTTTTTTTATGATCTGGGTCTCATTCTGTCACCCAGGCTGGAGTGCAATGGCACGATACTTCCACCTCAGCCTCCCGAGTAGCTGGGACTACAGATGCATGCTACCATGCCCAGATAATTTTTTTGTTTTGAGTCAGAGTCTTACTCTGTAACCCAGGCAGGACTGCAGTGGCACATTGCTCACAGTCACCGCAGCCCTGACCTGCTGGGCTCAGGTGATCCGCCTCAGTCTTCCAAGTAGCTGGAACTACAGGCGTGCACCACCACACCCAGCTAATTTTTTAATTTATTGTAGAGATGAGATCTGGCCAAGTTGCCCAGGCTAGGTTCGAACCTGTGAGTTCAGGCAATCCTCTCACCTCAGGTTCCCAAAGTGCTAGGATTATAGGCAAGAGCCACTGCGCTTGGCCCCCAGCTAATTTTTAAAAAATATTTTGTAGAGACAGGGTCTAGCTATGTTGCCTAGGTTGGTTTCAAACTCCTGAGCTCAGGCCATCTTCCTGCCTTGGCCTCCCAAAGTGCTGGGTTTACAGGCATGAGCCACTGCACCCGGTTGACTACTGGATTTCTATGAGAAAAAAATCTAGGCCAGACTTGGTGGCTCAGCCTGTAATCCCAAGACTTTGGGAGGCCAAGGCGAGTGGATTGCCTGAGCCCGCAGGTTCGAGATCAGCCCAGGCAACTTGGTGAGACCTTCTCTCTGCAATACATCAAAAATTAGCCGGGTGTGGTAGCGCATGCCTGTAGTTCCGGCTACTAGGAAGGCTGAGGTGGAAGGATCGTCAGAACCCAGCAGATTGACACTGGGGTGGCCGTGAGTGTGCACTCCAGCCTAGGCGACAGAGAGAGACTCCAACTCAAAAAAAAAAAAAAAAATCTGAATTTCAGTCCCAGCTTTGTCATTTCACCTCTCTAAGCTTCATTCTCCTCGTGTTTGGGTTCACAAAAGACAGAAATTGTATCCTGTTTATTTTTGTATTTTCCATACTGCATAGTGTCTAGCTTATAATTATAATATCTAATATTTATTAATTACTATGGAAAGTGTTATTGTTTTTATACATATTACTTTAGTGCTGACAAAAACCTAAAGAGATAGGTACCTCTAATATCCCCATTTTACAGATGTGGAAACAGACCAGGAGAGGTGAAAAAACATATTCAAGGATACATAGCTAGAAATGGCAGAGCCAAACTCTGAATCCAGGCAGTGCAGTTCCAGAGCTCACACATTTAACCACTATGCTAGACTATCCTCGCAAATGTTTCCTAAATGAATGAAAGAGAATGACTAACATCTGCCCCAAACCTCATGAGCATAAGAGTAAGAACATAGAAAAACAAAATGCATTTTGGAAACAATGTGATATATAATGTATGCAAATGCTCTCTAGCTATCATTTATTGAGCTACTGTGTGGCAAGCATTGCACCAATCTCTCGCTAATCCTCACCTGAATCTTGAAAACAGGCATTCCTTATTAGCCTAATTTGACAGTGAAGGAAACAAGCCCATAGAGGGCAGGTACTTGCCCAAAGTCACGATGTGAGTGACAGAACTAGAATTCAAATCTAGGTTTGATGGACTCTCAAGTCTGTGCTCCCTCCTCTCTACAATGTTGCCTTGAGTGGTTCTCTCCCTAGATTAACTAAAACAACGTGAAATAAAGCTGCTTTGGTCATAATTCAAATAAGTGGAAAGTTACAGTCCCATATTAAAGTAATTGTTATTTACAATGATGTCCTTGAGGGCCCTGCAAGATCCTAAGTATCTTTTAATGCTTAGCCAAAGAAGTGCCTTCTTAAGGTTATAACTTAACGTTTGGTTTCATAGAGTTTTCTGTTTACTGAATTGCTTTGAAATGTGGAAGCATAAGTCTTAAGAAATCATAATAATCATAAATCACTGAGTTGGGAAGTTAGAAGAAAATACGTTAGTTTAAACTTCTCATTTTACAAATGAGGCAAAGTCCAGACCGATATATGATTTGCCAAGGGTCAAACAACGAATTTGCGGTTGCATCAGGACTGGAATCCGGGGCCAACTCCCGGAATTCTAACTCCTTGTCCAATGCTTTCACCAATTTGTGAAGTTGTCCACCTGTTCAGTCCTCTTTCAAGGGGAGAAACTAAAGCTTGAGTTGCTGGGTAGAAAGGAATGAAAATGAAGTAGGAATAAAGCAATTGCAAATGTTTCCAATTAAAATGAAGACACAGCAACCTTGTCTGTGTATTTACAGTCGAGTTTCCTGAACGTCAAGTACCAGGCAGTGAGGTTTCCCAGAGCCCTTGAAGGCGGCAGTCCTCCGGAAGCTTTCTCTATGCCAGCTGCCACAAGAGAGAGCTACCCAAGGCTGGGAACTCTGGTGAAAACAAAATAACTGATAGCCTCAAAGGTGCTGACACTTCAGCTGGGAAAACGGAGAAAGGACACAGGCTTTACAATTCCCTGGAAAAACAGTAAAGTTTCTTTGCAGAGGAAATGTGGCAGGGAGAGGCCAAGTTATCAAGTGAAGGTTGTGCCTCAGTTTGTAGGAAATAATTAAAACCTGGATCCTTGGCTTAAAGAATAACCTTTCCAGAAGTTGCCTGCTTCTTTTCCCTACCTCCAGTTGCTGGATGATGACTTCTTTATTTTCTGTCTCTTCTCCTCTAGAAGGTAAACACACAAAGCATAAGTAAGACAAGAAGGAAAGTTCTGGAGAGAGTAGATTCTATTAGAGCAAAAACGACACTTCCACCGAGCTAAAGAAACATAATATAAATAACAATTTTGTGTGCTGACCCACAGCTCATGGGAAAGAAGTGATCACCTGGCCGGGCGCTGTGGCTCACACCTATAATCCCAGCACTTTGGGAGGCCAAGGTGAGAGGATTGCCTGAGCCCGCGGATTTGAGGCCAGCCTGGGCAAGTTGGCGAGACCTCATCTCTACATTTTTTTTAAAAATTAGCCAGGCATGGTGGCATGTGCCTGTAGTTCCAGCTACTTGGAAGGCTGAGGTGGAAGGATCACCTGAGCCCAGCGGATCAAGGCTGCGGTGGCCATGAGCATACCACTGCACTCCAGTCCAGGCAACAGAGTGAGACTTCGACTCAAAAAAAAAAAAGAAGTGATCACCTAGGTGGTGTCATCTAAACATTGGTATGGGCTGTACCAAAATGTCTTCTCCACTAACCAGTCAAGACTCAAAATTCTCACTGTGAAAATTAATACTTTTTTTTTTTAGATCGATTGTGGTTTGGGGACTTTTAGGTATCCTCAAGATCCTTTCAAATGGTCTCCAAGGACAAAACTATTTTCACAGTAATATTATTAAGATATTATTTGCCCTTTTCTTTCATCGTTAACATTTGTACCCCTAACCGCAAAAGCAATGGTGGTCAAAATCGCTAGTGCCTTAGCACAAATCTAGCCAGGTAACACTGAGCTGCATCAGCAGTCATAGTGATTTTTACTGCTGCACAGGAAAAAGAATCCAGTTTCATTTAATATCCTTGAGGAAACAGTAAAAGATTAATAGTTTTATAAAATCTCAACACTTGACTACATGCCCTTTTTTTTTTGAGTAGGTGTCTCACTCTGTTGCCCAGGCTAGAGTGCATTAGCTCACTCACCGCCACTGTAGCCTTGGCCCACTGGGCTCAGGCCTTCGGCCTCGGCCTTCCAAGTAGCTGGGATTACAGGCATGTAAGCCACAGCGCCCTGCAGCTACATACCTTTTTTAAAGTTCTGTGATAAAACAGGAAGTGTGCATGAGACACTTCTGCTGTATACCAAAATATGATGGTTATCTTAAGGAAACCCACTTGTGTGACTGTTTAAGCTGCAAACTGAGCTAGTTGCGTTTTTCATGAAATGGTATTTTACTTGAGTGATTAGCTGACAGACTATGTTATTCAGACTTGGGAGTTTGAGAGACACTTTCTCAAAAAGTAATAAAGTGAGCATGTCAATTCAAGAAAAACAACTGACAGTATTTGTTGTCAAAGATAAATTTGGGGCTTTCAAGTGAAAATCTGAATTCTGAAAAACTTCTATCCACCATTGTTTGACAGATTTTATGTACTTAAACACGTTTCTGATAGACTGGTAGTGATATTAACAAATATTTTTGATATTATATAATGAAATGTGTCAATATTTGGAGGATCTACACAAGTCAGTGAACCAAAATTTTCCAAATGACCAACAAAACACATCATGTTACAAAATCATCCTAGGTAAAACATTCATTCAAAGAACAAGACAGACCAATGGATTTTATAATTATTATTTATTTTTGAGTCAGAGTTTCACTGACGCCCAGGTCAGAGTACAGCGGCACAGTCATGGCCACCATAGCTTCGACCTGCTAGACTCAGGCGATCCTTCTGCCTCAGCCTTCCAAGTAGCTGGAACCACAGGCACGTGCCACCATGCCCAGATAAATTTTTGATTTATTGTAGAGACAAGGTCTTGCCAAGTTGCCTGGGTGGGTCTCGAACCCCTGTTCTCAGGCAATTCTCTCACCTCAGCCTCCCAAAGTGGTGGGATTACAAGCATGAGCCACCACACCTGGCCGACCAATGAATTTTAATGTAACAGTTCAAAAAGTTCACTGATATAATTTCAGATTCCACATTGCAACTAACCTTAAAAAAACACCACTTGGAAAAAAAAAACCTAAAACTATCACTTGTTAAGTTTTGTTGTCAAAAAAGAATATGCACAATGATCTGAGAGGACTATTTATACATTTCTACCTTTCTCAACTACATATCTATGTAGGCTAGATATAATTCAGCAACAACAAAATCTCACAACAGATTCAATGCAGAAGCAGATAATCTAGCAGTAATTTTTTTTTTTTTTTTGAGTCGGGGTTTCACTCTGTCACCCTGGCTGGAGTGCAGTGACATAATCACAGCTCACCACAGTCTCCAACTCCTGGGCTCAGGTAATCCTTCTACCCCTCAGCCTCCAGAGTAGCTGGGGACTACAGGCATGTACCACCATGCCCAGCTAATTTTAAAACATTTTTTGCAGAGATGAGGTGTCCCTACTTAGCAGTCTTCTATTAAACTAGACATTAATGAGATGTGCAGAAATGCAAAACAATGCCAATCTTCTCATTAATTTTTGTTTGCTTTGGAAAAAATAGTTTCAATAAAAACATGTCAACATTTAATGAGTGTATTATTTTGAAATTAATACATTTTTAAATAGTGGTAAGAAATCTGTAACATTAAATTTGTCATTTTAACCATTTTAAGTGTATAATTCAATGATATTACATTCACAATGTTGTACAATCATCGCCACTATTTCCAAAATTTTTTTTATGACTCCAAGCAGGAATACTGTACGCATTAAGCATTAACGCTCCATTCTTCACTTCTCCTAGCCCTTGGTGGGCTCTAATTTACTTTCTGTCTCTATGAATTTTCCTATTCTATATATTTCATATAAATGAACTAGTACAATATTTGTCCTTTTGGTTTATTTCACTTGACATAAAGCTTTCAAGGTTCATATGTTTGCACATGCACCAGAACTTCATTCCTTTTGCAATTTCTTTTTGTGGTCAAATAATAGTCCATTGTGTATATATACCACATTTTTTTTTTTTTTGAGTTGGAGTCTCACTCTGTCGCCCAGACTGGAGTGCAGTGGCCGCTCCCGGCAACCGCAGCCTCGACCTGCTGGGCTCCGGCGATCCTTCCGCCTCAGCCTTCGGAGTAGCTGGAACTACAGGCGCGTGCTACCACGCCCAGCTGGTTTTTTTCTTTTTTAATTTTATTGTAGAGATGAGGTTTTGCTGCCCAGGCGGGTCTCGAACCTGCGGGCTCAGGCAATCCACTCACCTTAGCCTCCCAAAGGTGCGGGATTACAGGCTGAGCCACCGAGCCCGGCTCCACATTTTTAATTTTTAAAATTTATTTATTAACTTTTTTTTATTTTAAAGATGTGGGGTACAATTCAGGGTTAGTTATACCCATATTTTGTTTATCTAGTCATATGCTGATGGATACTTGGGTTGTTTCCACCTTCTGGCTACTGTGAATAATGCTTCTATGAGCTGGGCATGGTGGCTCACACCTGTAATTCCAGTGCTTTGGGAGGTCAAGGCAAGAGGATTGCCTGAGTCAGGAGTTCGAGACCAACCTGGGCAACTTGGCAAGACCTCATTCCTATAATAAATCAGAAAATTAGCCAAATATGGTGCCATGTGGCTGTAACCCGAGCTCCTCAGAAGGCTAAGGCAGATGATCTAAGTCCAGAAGCTCAAGGATGTGGTAGCTGTGATCGTGCCACTCCAGCCTGAGCCACAGAGTGAGACTCTGACTAAAAAGAAAAAAGGGGGTAACCTCTTTCAGGTCCCCTCCTGCTGTGGGAGCTTTTCTGTCCTCCTACTAAATCCTACTTTCCCACAAGGAAAAAAAGAAAAGAAAAAGAAAAGCTTCTATGAACATTATTGTACAAGTTATCTGTATGAGTCCCTGTTTTCAATTCTTTTGAAAATATACCTTGGAGTGGAATTGCTGGATCATATGGTCCCCCTTTTTTTTTTTTTTTTTTTTTAGTTGGAGTCTCACTCTGTCACCCAGGCTGGAGGGCAGTGGCATGCTCACACTCATAGCCACCACAGCTTTGACTTGCTTGGCTCAGGCAATCCTTCCACCTCAGCCTACCAAATAGCTGGAACTACAGGTGCGTGCCACCACACCCAGCTAATTTTTTGATTTATTGTAGAGACGAGGTCTCGCCAAGTTGCCCGGGCTAGTCTTGAACCCATGGGCTCAGGCAATCCTCTCACCTCGGCCTCCCAAAGTGCTGGGATTATAGGCATAAGCCACTGTGCCCAGTCTCACATGGTAATTCTGTTTAACTTTTTAAGGAAATGCCAAACTGTTTTTCCACAGCGGCCACACCATTTTATATTCCCACCAAAAATGTATGGGGGCTCCAATTGCTTCACTACTTTGCCAAAAACTATTATTTTCTTTTTAAAATTATTATAACCGTCCTAGTAGGTATCAAGTGGTATCTCACTGCGGTTTTGATTTGCATTTCTTTAGTTACTAACTGATATTGAGCATCTTTCCATGTTTGCTGGCCATTTGTATGTGTTTTTTGGAGAAATGATAATTTAGGTCCTTTTTTCAGTTTATAATTGGGTTATCTTTTTGTTGTCGAGTTGTAGTTCTTTATATATTCTGGATATCAAATCCTTGTCAGATATATGATTTGCAAATATTTTCTCCCATTCTGTGGGTTGTCTTTTCACTCTTTTGAATATCCCCTGACATACAAATTTTTTTAGTTTTAATGAAGTCCAATTGATCTGTTTTTCTCTTGTTGCCTCTTTCTTTGATGTCATATGTAAGAAACCAGTACCAAATTCAAAGTCATGAAGATTTGCCCCTATGTTTTCTTCTAAGAGTTTTATTGTTACAGCTCTTAAGTTTAGGTCTTTGATCCATTTTTAGTTAACTTTTGTATAATGTGTAAGGTAAGGATCCAAATTCATTCTTCTACATATGGATATCTAGTTCTTCCAAAACCGTTCATGGAAAAGACTATTTCCCCACTGAATGGTCTGGTACTCTAGTTGAAAATCAATTGACCATTGATGTGAGAGTTTATTTTTGGGCTTTCAATTCTACCACA